AAAGTTGAAAAGGACTTCCAAATACATTGTACTAGTCGCTCAGTGGTTTTAGTACACCGAGGTTCATGAAACAGTTGTGTAGCAGATGGGACAAAGTATTAAATCAAAGCGTGCGTAATCCAGGGTGCAACTGAAAATAACTTGGTCGCGCGAATGGAATTGGGTCTTTTTTCTCTTTGGAATGATAACCAAAATAACTTATAATTTAAAAAAGCTGCTTTTATATCAATGTAAAGCTGAAAAGGACTACCGAATATATAGCACTAGTCTCTCGGGTGGTTTTAGTACACTTAGGTTTATGAAACAGCTGTGTAGCAGATAGGACAAATTATTAAATCAAAGAAATAGTGAAGAAAACGAGGAAACTTTGTCGATTTACTGAATACAGATTGATCGTTTCAGTAGCATAAGCTGTACATTTATTTTTCTCTGATGCTTTCTTGGTACACCATTTTATTTTACATGGCATTCATAGTCTAATAAGAAATGACGGTAGTATTTCAACTGACTAGTCAGAAGCTTTGTGTTATACTCGTAGCTGCCTCGCTATGGCGTACAGTAAGGGTGGCTAATAGCTGGCGATGCTCACTGCTGATTATTTCTTGGTGACCTGCTCTCGGAGTTGACAAGCTGAAACAGAATTCGAATTGATATTTCAAAATAAGCACGTGTATGGCTATCTATATAAATGAAAAGTGCATAGACCGAATATCGTGTAACGCACAAAACCTATCGGAGAAGCGACGTGCCATGGCTGAAATGTTGGTAAATATTATATATATTATCATGTAATTACTTCCTAGAAAAAGGCCTATATAACTTTCAGTTAAACAATTGATTACGTAACATTTCAAGAAAAAAAACCGCACGGTCATGATAATAATAATGATAATAATAATAATAATAATAAGATTTAGAAGGTATGAAAGAAAGAAAGAAAATATAAAAAAGTAAGTAAATAGCAAAGAACGTCTGGGCTTAATGCTGCTGGTAGCTGCAGCTGCAACGCAAGTCAGGTCGTGGTCACTCCTCCTGAGCGCTACTGCTAATAACGTTATGCTACAAGGGGGGAATTAATATATATATATATATATATATATATATATATATATATATATATATATATGCCTGGAACCAAAACTATTTACCTAACTCGTGTACACTGAAACGGAACCCTTCAAACGTTTTACACAGTCGTTGGGCAATGGTCTTCATTCCGGAGTAAACGTAAATCGGATCCAGTCCAACACGGCGACTCCAAAGCTGAATGCCGTCTCTCTGACACCTTCCTTGCTTATCCTCGCCATAACACATGAGTACCAGCAAATAGTTGGTGTAGTCCGTGTCGATGATTTTGAAATGGTTGTTGCCTGCAAAGGAAAGAGAAACTGGTATGAAGTTTGAAATACGGCTTAGAGAAATCTCCAAAATATATCAAACTACCAAAAACGTTCTCATCATTTTTAAAGACAGATTATCTCGTGTTTTTTTTTTCTTTTAACTTGTCATTTAGAATTTAACTTTGGCCTTTAGACGGTATTCTAATCCATTGCTTCTGATATGCTTTTCTAATATTGTGATCGTAGGCAACCTCGGATTTTTTTATTGCATCTGTTTGGGATGGATTGCTAGTGGAGCGCTCCAATGTCAAAATGTCAGAGTCACCTTTCATAGATAAGTAGTCTTAGGTCTCATTTTCAATGAAACTGCCGTTTATACGTAGATTGATCCAACTTCCTGGCGACTTTCGAAGAATGCAAACAGATTGACAGATTAACACCTGCTCCTAGCGTTGAGTAGAATACACAAATAGTTGGTTGTTACATGATTACTTTGGATCAGTGAGAGTCCACCCCTAGTTTGATCCACGTATTACGATAATTTTATAGGAAATAAGTCCTTTGTAATTCCTGATAACTACGTAAAATAAAATTATTAAAAAAAAAATATATATATATATATATATTCGTAGAAACAAATGACACATAGTAGGGAATAAAATAAAGAAAAAAGAGGGGAAAAAGAAAAAAATATAGTTATTTTGTCAATGAATGAAGAATAGCTCACTCTCTGATGGACCAAAGGAGAAGTCCCCTGGATTCCCTGTAGGAACTAGGCTTGAAACCTCGCTGATGTCTATGCATTCTTGTCCGTCTTTCCTATGATAAAAGTAAAGACGTACATGTATTATAACAGGGACATTCTATGCTACATGTTCAAAACGGCTTTATTTCTAAACTGTTCTCATTATTATTTTTATCATTATTATGTTTGTTTGTTGTTGTTGTTGCTGTTGTTATATTGATGCTTTCTCTTAGAATGTAAACGATGTGTTTCACCTGTACACGTGCCTGTTCTTTAATGCTGTATAATATAATATAATATAATATAATATAATATAATATAATATAATATAATATAATATAATATAATATAATATATATTATTGTTAGGAAAATACACGAGAGCTTTAATAGAATGAAATAGGGAGAATGGGAACATTTCATTTGATGGCAGTAAATGACCCAGAGGTAATTTATTCATTGTAGAGTAACTTCAACACAGGTGTTGCAATGAAATTTTATGTCTTTGCATTAATTATTGACTGGTGTTCCCCATAGTTATTCGTTAAACACACATAAACACACGTATAAAATACCAGTAACTCTATTTCAACGTGGGGAAATATATTGGAGAAGACGCGGCATATCGTTGCCCTTATTATTGTATACTAACAGTGGGGACACATCACTCCGCTATGCCAAATATGCTGTTTCGCTTAAATGATAAGGCTGTAGTGTGTGTTTTCTTTATAAATTTTACTGATTTACTGTACGTACGGCAACCCTTTGATAGGAAAGGAAAATGCCCCATTTTTGCCGGCGGTAACGTTGGCAGTGTATTCTGTTAAAACACGGTCATCCGGTACCATGGGGTTCCGTCGCCATAGGAAACTATACCAAATGCCTCTAAGCTAGAAATGAAATACAAACAATGAGAGATCCATCCCTTCGTCTACTCCTATCATTTGCAAACACGTGAAATATGTAGAAAATAAAATGGCAATAGCTGTTTTGTAGCAAACTTGTCACAGAATATTCATGAGGGAAAAAGCTACATACACTGGACATTAGAAGTATCACCCCCTGAATCAGAATAATCAGGTTATAATGACTGGTCTACTTATAATGCGACTAATGAGTATAAAACCGCTGTACCATGGAATTATATTGTTGGTGTTTTTGTGAAATTTGATGTAAGTAAATGATACCAAGAGCATATCATTTCACAGTCATTTAATTCCCCCAAAGTATTGGTTCAGTAGGGGTTACACTTCTATTGTCCAGTGTGTGTAGATGGCCGATAGTACATGGCAATATCCCTCGTGAGTAAATATTTTTTTTTATGTTTGTGACAAAAGAGATTTTGATCTCTAACTTAAAAATAGGTTTCGCATTCCACGCAAATGTACCGGCAGCCTCTATCAGCTTCAATATAAATGTTGGCAAATGACACAACGATACTCAAACTTCAAACCTAGGGCAGCAACCCCTGACTACCGCTGTTAACAAAAGGTGGCGATTATTAAAACATATATTTTGATCAAAATGAATATTTGGACCATGCCAATTTACAAATTATGTCAGCTACATTGTACACATATGGTTCTAGGACGATTGGTAAACATTGTGAGTTTATAAACCGATAACATTTATTCCTTCCTCCAGCGTTAAAAAAAAAATTCAGCTATAAAGCTGACATATTAACAGACGCGCACTGTGCACTTCCCCTTAAACAGTCACAGATGCCGACGAGCAAATTATTATATGTCCCTCTATATAAAGAGGTTTGCACTTACCTTCGTTACATCCAATTTTCGGAATACGGATGTTCTCGGTCTCAAATACCATCGTCCTGTGGGCCTATTTCGTCCCATGATCAAGGGAGTTGTATCTGGGATACATATTCTATAATATCCTAATCCCCCTACTAGAGCAAATATCAGCGCAAAGATAATTGCACGTAGCAAGACAGCCATGGTAGGACCCGTGACACTGCCCAAATAGAGCGAGGTTAAAAAATGTTAATGTGCAACGGTCAGGTGGCATTAGGCCAACCGATAAATGCTAGGTGTGTGTTCGACTTCTTTCTCTCTTAGCCTTGCAGAAAGAATGACATTTTGCATTTCATCTTTTGGAATATATATTGAGAAAATCAATTGTGCTTTTGTGTTTAATGGAAACGGAAACGGATTTGTATCTCGTGGTTATGAAGAAAACTATCTATGTGACCTCCAAGTAAACCAACATTTAATGGCACATGGCCCGCACATCAAAATAGTAACGTTTGGCACGTACACCGAGCATAAATACTGCTACTGCTAGATCTACTCACATGCGACCTCTGTATGCAGTTATTAACGTGCCTTCAGTCCAACGATTTTTCAGTTTCGTACGTGTGTACTTAGAGTAAAAAGTGGGTATTAATTTATGCAAGAGTAGAGAGTGATTTTACGAAAAAAATCTAAAAAAAAAATAGTTTCCAAAACCTAGCCAAATCTCGATATGCTTATATCCGGGCAGTATCAGACAAAGTTGTTGCTCTTTGACGCCGAGTGGGTGCTGAGATAGGTAGCCAGCTGCGGAAAAAAATTGTGTTGGTTTCGTCCCAATTTTAGGTGAACATAACCCCAACGTGTTCAATTTTACCATTTAGTTGCTTTTGGGTGCTTCTGGACACAACAGGTCCACTATTCCTTATACAGGTATATTGTTGAACCTGCATAAAATTAAGATTAAATTGCTTGGTATATTTTCTATCTATCTATCTATCTATCTATCTATCTACGAGCTCTAGAAAAAAAAACAGTTATTATTTCTGAGGTAACGTAAATTAATTGAAAAGTAAAAAGTGCACAAAAAATGGATTTGGGTCTTTTTTTCTCTGTAGAAAGATAACCAAAATAAGTTATAATTTCAATAAGCTGATTTTTATTTCAAAGTAAAGCTGAAAAGGACTTCCGAATATATAGCACTAGTCTCTCGGTAGTTTTAGTACACCTAGGTTTATGAAACAGCTGTGTAGCAGATAGGACAAAGTATTAAATCAAAGAAAGAGTGAAGAAAACGAGGTAACTTTGTCGGTTTACTGAAAAATTGATCGTTTTTGTAGCATAAGGTGTACACTCCTCTTTCTCTGATTTTTTCTTGGTACACCTATTTAATTCATCATGGCATTTATAGTCTAATAAGAAATAACGCTAGTTTTCCAACTGACTTGGCAGAAGCTTTGTGTTTTCCTCGAAGATGCCTCGCTGTAGCGTACAGAAAGGGTGGATAATAGCCGGTGAAGCTCATTGCAGATCATTTCTTGGTTACCTGCTCTCGGAGGTTACAAGCTGAAACAGAATTCGAATTGATATTTCAAAATGAACGAATGTTTGGCTTTATCTTTATAAATGAAATGCGCATAGGTTAAATATCATGTAACGCACATAACCTTTCGGAGAAGCAACGTACCATGGCTAAAATGTTAGTAAATATTATAATATTATAATATTATAATATTAGCATGTAATTATTAGCGTGGGCCCTACTGCCGATAACGTTAAACTACGGCGGGGAAAATAGTATACATGCCTAAACCCAAAAATATTCACCTAACTTGTGTACACTAAAACGGAACCCTTCAAACGTTTTACACAGTCGTTGGGCAATGGTCTTCATTCCTGAGTATACGTAAATTGGGTCCAGGCCCACGCGGCGGCTCCAAAGCTGAATGGCGTCTCTCTGACACCTTCCTTGCTTATCCTCCCCGTAACACCTGAGTACCAACAAATAGTTGGTGTAGTCCGTGTCGATGATCTTGAAATGGTTGTTGCCTGCAAATGAATGTTACCCAAGTATAGAGTCTGGAATGCGACTTAGCAAAATCTCCAAATTGTATCGACCGATTAAAAAGCTGTTGTACCATTTTAAGAAATATTATTTTGGTTATTTTATTTTAATTTGTTATGTTGAACATAACTTAAGCCTTGAGACAATATTCTTATCCACTGTGTCTCTTATGTTGTGACCAAAAGCAACCTAGGAATGGTTTTTTGCATCTATGTGGGATGGATAGCTAGTGTAATGCTCCAATACCAATATCCCAAATTTATCTGTCATTGTTAAAAAATCTTAAGGCTCATTCCCATTGAAATATTCGTTCTACGTTATACGTAGATTGATTCAACTGCGCGGGAGCTCTCATTGCATGTAAACGGATTGAGGGATTGACACACTTGCTCTGGGCGTTGAGCAGAATACACAGAAAGCTGCTGATTTTATGGGTGTTGGCAGCATCAGGAGGCGTGTTAATCTATCTGATTGCATTCAGCGAGAGTTCAAGCCCAGTTTGATCTACGTAGAAAGGATAGGGGAGAGCGGGGCTAGGTGACCCAATTATACACTTTTGGCCTTCTAGAGCCAACTGGGAATGAATTAGAGCAACAAAACCGGTTTAAACTAAATTACGTATGCAACGTACGTCATTATTTTTAGATATAATGCCAGATGGGTCACAATCTGACAAAAAACGTAATTGACTTCAGTTGGCACCTTATACGAAAATGCAGTGAGTATCCCATGTAAACGACAATGATTTTATTAAGTTGATTTTTGAGTCTTTGATGAATAAGTAGTTCAAATGAGGCAGACATGAGGCAGTGTATATTGAGGTTTCTGTACGTAACGTTGTATGTGTTGGAAGAACCAAAATATTTATTAATTAAACTTGTTTTGTTTTAATTGAAAATAAACTAATAACGCTTTAAAACAGTTTTTAATGAATGAAAAACGAATAATAAATTTTGGTTTTTAAAGAAACTCACAGATTCAGTCTTAAACTGGTAATAACTTAACAAACCATTGAATTTGTTTTAACAATGGTCTGTAGCTGTGTTGCGCGCAAAGGACTGTGGGCTATATGAGGGTCCAAGTTGCCCCGAGTCCAGGGAGCCAACTATAGCCCCGGGTGCACATTTTGGTTTTAAAGGTTTGCAGCAATTGTGGTGCTAGAATGAACATGGATTGAACCTTACTGTGAAATTGAAACGATGAGCTTCAGTTTGATGCCCTATACATATATTATATTCGATCAAAAGCCTATAAAAATAAATTTTAATATTTCTTTAATACGGTTACTTTAAGATGCAGAATTCTTTCATTTGGACTCAGCGCCTTAATGAAACTATTAAACGAAACTTTGATACGGTCACTTTAATTTACAAAATGATGTGATCATTGTTTTTTATCCCATGGTTACTTTTTCAGAAAATGATGCCTGGCCAACTTACCCAGGGGTCCAACTAGCCCCGGTCTCCCCTAACTTTACTGGTAATGACCCTTTAATAAATCCTGTTAACAACGCACATTTAAATTACCTAAAAACGCGATTTTTTAAACAAATGTCAGAAGCAAATGACCCATAGTATGAAAAAAATAAGGAACAAAGTTATTTTACTTGATGATTAAAGAATAACTCACTCTCTGATGGACCAAAGGAGAAGTCCCCTGGATTCCCTGTAGGAACTAGGCTTGAAGCCTCGTTGATGTCTGTGCACTTTTGTCCGTCTTTCCTAAGATGAAAGTAATATGCAGATATTTTATTTGTAAAAGGGATATTTTATGATACATGTTCAATGCGGCTTTTTTTTCCTAAAACCCCCGCCTACAAAACGACTATAACCATTTCAAATCTAACAACCGTGAAAAGGAAATCATTTGGTGTCATTTTTACTGTTATTATTATTGGTGTTGTTGCTGTGTTGCTTTTGTTGCCTTTTCTTAAAGTATAAGCGGTATGTTTCACCTGTATACCGGTGTACTTGTCTGTTCTTTAATGCTGTAGAAAAGGGCATCTGCAGTGTCATTTAAACATATAATATAATATAATATAATATAATATAATATAATATAATATAATATAATATCAGTTTGGGGTAGTTTTATTATTCATTTATTAACTGGTATGTAGCCGCTCCTTGGTTCATGCATAACATTTGAGCCTAACATGCGTCTTCTTTATAAGGAAAATACATGGAAGCTTTTTTATTCTGAAATAAAATGGAATCGGGAGGATTGAAACCCTTTTCATTTGATGGCAGTAAATGACCCAGAGATAAATTATTCATTGTAGAGTAACTTCAACACAGGTGTTGCAATAAAATTTTATGTCTTTTGCATTAATTATTGCCTGGTGTTCTCCATAGTTATTCGTTTAACACACATAAAAACGCTCATAAAATACCAGTAACTCTATTTCAACGTGGGGGAATATATATTGGAGAAGACGCGGCATACTGTTGCCCTCATTACTGTATACTAACAGTGGGAACACTCCTTTATACCAAATATGCTGTAAAACCATGTGATATGCTACATTTGTTTCGCTAAATTGATAAGGTTGTAGTATGTATCCCATTTATATAATTAACTGAATTACAGTACGTACGGCAACGCTCTGATAAAAAAGGATAATGCTCCATCTTTGCCGGCGGTGACGTAGGCGGTGTATTCTGATAAAACACGGTCATCCGGCACCTGGGGGTTCCGTCTCCATAAGAAACTATACCAGATGCCCGTAAGCTAGAAATAAATGCAAACGATGTAAGGTCCTTCTCCTTGTCTATTCCTATCATTTGCAAACAGGTGAATAAAAAATGGCAATAGCTCTCTTGTCACACATATGTCTTAGTCACATCGCAATATCTCATGAGTAAATATAGTTCGGAAAAAGAGATTTTGATCTCTAGATCTAACCTAAAAAATTGCATATCACGCGAAAAAAACGGACCATTTCACAACCATCAACGGGCGATTTACAGTATAATTACTCAGTCATTTCATTGGGCAAAATTGTTAATTTTCAAGATACTGTATTTTAAGACAATTTTTTCCAATTAAAACATTCCTTTTGAGTGGAAGCAACAAATGAGAAAAACAGACTACTCTATATTCTACTTTATACAGTAAAAGCAGCAAACATGTTAAATACCAATATTATTGTTTGTAATGAAATGATGTATCTTTAAGTTTAATCATTTTTGCAAACTAAAATATCGAGATATTACCGTATGCCTGCACATTTGAAATTAATTGGTGTATGTGGGAGATATTATTAGCCTATGTACACTTTTGAACTTTCTACGTACAATGGATGCCTTATAAACATTATAGATGATGCTAATCTCAGACTTAGATCTTGAAACTGATGGCAGGGTAAACACTAAAAAAAAAAACCTTACTCCTTTTCAGTTTACGTTTGTGCTAGGTAACGATTTAACAATTTAAGCCCACTACAAAGTGGACGTATGTGCCGTTAGCCTTTATCTGCTTAAACATAATACTGTAGCTGGCAAATGATACGGACTCAAACTGTAAACCAAATCCTTTGACTTCCGCCGTAAAATCAAGGTGACAATTATTAAACCATATACCAGTATCATGGTCAAAATGAATATTCGGACTTTCAATATTCAATTTTTTACCTGCTACATTGTACATGTTGGATTTTAAGACGTTGAGAAAACCGTGTGAGTTTGTAACCAGTAACATTTATTCCTTGTAATTGCAGCATCCCCCCCAAACAGTCTCGGATGATGCCGATGTAAATGGCCCTCTATATATGGCAGACCTATATGGAAGGAAGTCCACGTACTCCTTTAATGGTCTCTCCGCCTCTCACACACCTCCCCACACGTCGTCCCTGCAGGGGCACAGTAATTAAATATCGGCTCAATTCAACCGGTCGATGGACGACGAGTGGGGAGCCGTGTGAGAGACGGAGAGACTACCCGCAAGAAAACGCAGTAGATACTCCAGCGCAGTAGACTACTGCAATCATGCTGCAAACCGCAGTTGACTACTGCAAACATACTGCAAACATGCTTCAAATCTGCTTCGATTTGGGAGCTAATTAGCATATTTGAAACATGCTTCTATCATGCTGCTAATCTACTGCATTAATGCTCCTCTCTGTACAAACCTATGTACTTTTTGGAGCAGAATTGCAGTAGGCTATGCTGCATTTCTACTGCAAATATGCTCCACAGCACTACTGCGTTAATGTTTTTTTTTTTTTTTTTTTTTTTTTTTACTACTTCTATACTACTGCATTTTCGTGCGGGTATTGCAGGATTAAGTCTTCCTTTCATGTAGGTCCGCCATATTTAGGTCGTGGCCTAGCTAGCACTCGGCTACTCTCATTCTGAATGGCCTCATACATGCACTTACCTTAGTTACATCCAGATTTCGGAATCCCTTAATCAAGGGAATTGTATCTGGAATACATATTCTAGGATATCCCAATCCCCCTACGACAGCAACTATCAGCGCAAAGAAAATGGCGCGTACCAAGACAGCCATTCTAGGACCTGTGACTCTGTCCAAATAGAGCGAGGTTCAAAATACTGAGTTAATGTGCAAGATTCAACTGGCATTAGGCCAGCCTATACAAATTACGTGTGTGTCCAGCTTATTTCTCTCTTAGCCTCACAAAAGAATACCAATTTTGCATTCATCTTTTGGAATATGATTTGAGGAAAAAAACTGGGCTATTGTGTTCAATGAATACATATTTCGTTTTGTGATAATGAAGAAAAATAGCTATGTGACCTCCATGTAAACCAACATATTATGAAATATGGCCTGTACATCATATTAGTAATGTTAATCATGTTCACCGAGGATTATGTGCTTACTGCTACGCAACTTCAGTCCAAGGACTTTTATGTTTTATACGTGTGTATCCTCTGGCGTAAAGTACAATCTGAGCATCAATTCATACTACCGGTAGAGTCGAGCGTGAAGTTTACAGAACCTTTACTCTTTTTTAAAAGATATTTTCGTCTGTTAGTTTCAGAAGTACGGGCACGGGTATATTAATATAGTTTTTTTTTTTTTTTTTTTTTTTTTTTTTTT